TGCGGTCCCGCTGGTCATGGTCGAAGTCCAAGGACCCGAGGGCCCATCCAAGTTACGATGGCCCATCCTTGCGCGCTTCCAGATCGACAAGCAAACGCTGGCAACAGCCTTAGGACAGACATTCTCTAGCGTGGACACATCTACGTGGTCGATTTTGCACGAGATGGCCACCGTGGTCAACAGAATCTGGTCGTCGAAATGGCATTACTATTTCTTGGAATGCTCGTGGCATGCTTTGTTGCAAACCTCACCGCAAGAAGGCCAAGCTCAACAAGCTCGCCTCATTCATGCGTAGACGTGCTGTAATCCTACTACACGAATGTCGAGGGACGCTGGATAAGTTGACGACCGCCATTGCCACGTACCCGTATCCATACAAGATCTTCGACAACCAAATGTCCCAGAAAGCGGGTGGTACAGCATTCTTGGTACCTCTAGATTCGCGGGACCAAGGGGACCCCCATGCCAAATTTCATCATCAGATCCTGTGAGTTGGGGGAGTTGCATTACTTACTATCACCTATGAGCAAGACAACTTTACAATGAAGCACATAAACATTATAACTTTGCGATTGATGCGAGCTCACAGGGCAACATTCAAACGAAACAGCGGGAAATGGTGCAGTGGAATTTACATGATCCTTCGCGGAAGGCTTTTACTGCAGCTGGATATTTCAACATAACGTCTGGACCTACTCGCAGCTACGTCGGCCCTGTCAACGAGGTATTTGTTCCTGGCACCGTCCCTGGCGCACGTATTCGGGGTACACGTCCACTCCAGAGCTACTGGGGACGTCTCGTCTAAATGGTTACGGCAATTACAACGGACTGCCCTTTGTGTGCTGTCTTCGAAGCCCTGGACGCGGACCCGTTGGTTTACGAGGGGTCCTGCCCTCGGGAGCTCGGGTTCTTGCGTTTTTGTTCGGGAAAGGGCGTGGGCCCCGGTTTTTCTTTTAGTGGGTTACCCCCCCCGCTCCTACGGGAAAAGGGCAGGCGGAGAGGTAAAGTGATGATTTTCAGTTGAAGAACAGCGTTTTTCGCGTGCCCGTTCGAGGAAAGTTCGCCCCTCATCTCGGATCCTCGATGAATAACGTGGTCCGCAGACCACCAGTTTCCTTCGTAAGAAAGGGTGCGTTTTTTTTTTTTTGTTCTCCGGATCTCCAATCAATACCAAGGTCCGGAGACCCGCCCGCGACGCTGAAAAGCGTCCCGCGCGCAGGAATTCCGAGGATGTCTCGCGCGTGCCGCGTCCCGCGCGCATGGATTTCGAGGATGTCTCGTCTAATTCGCTGGTTTTTGCAACAACGGGGTGGTCACCCAGGGGCGTATCTCACATGGTCGCCCAAAGGGGGTATCTAACATGGTGGTCCCGAGCTGGAGCCACGTGTTTTTTCGTGTCTAGGCCACCCAGGGGGTATATAACGTGGTGGTCCCGCGCTGGAGCCACGTCGCTTCACGTGTCCAGGGCACCCAGGTGGGTATCTAACATGGTGGTCCCGAGCTGGTACCACGTTTTCACGTGTCCAGGCCACACAGGTGGGAATCTAACAGTGTGGTCCCGCGCCGGAGCCACGTGTTTTGAAGTGTACCAAACAATTATATGGGTAGCTAACATGTTGGTCCCGAGCTGGAACCACGTGTTTTACCAATCGAGGCCACCCAAGAGGTGTCTAAGGTGGTGGTCCCGCGCTGGAGCCATGTGTTTTCACGTGCCCAGGTCGCCCGCCCAGATGGTGTATCTCAGCGCTGGAACCGCGTGTTTTCACGTGTCCACGCCACCCAGGGGGGTATCGAACATGGTGGTCCTGAGCTGGAGCCACGTCTGGTTTCACGTGTTTTTACGTGTCCAAACCACCCATGGGGTATCTAACATGGTGGTCCCGCGCTGGAGCCAGTGTCTAGGCCACCCAGGTGGTATCTACCATGGTGGTCCCTCGCTGGAGCCACAGGCTTTCACGTGTGCAGGTCACCCAGGTGGGTATATAACATGGTGGTCCCGAGCTGGAACCACGTGTTGCCACGTGCTCGCGACAACCAGGTGGGTATCTAACACGGTGGTCCCGCGTTGGAGCCGCGTGCTTGCACGTGTCCGCGCCACCCAGGGAATATCCAACATGGCGGTCCCGAGCTGGAACCACGTCCCACAAAGGAGGGTATCTAACATGGTTGTCCCGAGCTCAAACCACTCGTACGCCCCCTGGCATTTCGCCTCGCACGTTCCCCCCTGGCACGTTCCGTGGCGCGTCCCGTGGAGCGTCCCCCTGGCACTTCGCGCGGCGCGTCCCCTGGCGCGCCCATTGGCACCTTCCTTGGCGCGTCCCTCTGGCACGTCGCACGTCTTTTGGAACGTTCCGCGGCGCGTCGCGTGCCGCGTCCCCTGGCACGTCCCCTGGCGCGCCCCTTGGTACGTCACTGTATGTGCCCCCTGGCACTCCCCCTGGGACCCCCCACCTGGGACGTCACCCGACGCGTCCGCTAGCGCGTCCCTTGCCACGTCCCGTGGTGTTCCCCTGGCGTGTCCTTCTGGCGCGTCCCGCGGCACGTCCGTGGCGTTTTCCCTGGCATGTCGCGTGGCGCGCCCCATGGCGCGTCCCGCGGCGCGCCCCCTTGCACGTACCGTGGCGCGGCCCCTGGCGCGTCCCGCGGTGCGCCCCCGAGTGGATCGCATCGCAGCATGGCTCGGCACCACAGAGCAGGTAGTGGTTTGACAATGTGAGCGAGCCCGCGCGGACTTCGCATGCTTCGAGCTGGTTCAGCGCCCCGCACGTTTCGATTGCAACCAGTTCTTGGCGAGCTATACGTTCAGGCAGCTTGAGCTCAAGATCCAGATTAGTTCGGCCAGGAGTCGGACGCCAAGGACGACTTGATCCACAATGAAATGGCGCACAGCGTAGTTCCAAGCGGCACAACACATTTCAACTCGGCACAGCATGGCACAGCACAGCACAGCCTGTGGCACTGTACATCATCGTTACCTACAGCATTGCAATTGCCCGTCAACCAATGAGGTGCCGTGAAGCGTTTCCATGCTTCTCATTTCTATATTCCTTTCAGGGTTCGAGGGTCGATCATGTTTTTGTATACCTGGATTGTGTCTTCGGGGAGATGTACGATGCACTGGCATGTCTTCGGCGAGAGGGGGGGGCCCCTTACAATTATACGGAGGCCCTGCCAGACAGCACTTGGCAATTCTACCGCGCATCAACGTGCCAGACGTTCTTCATGAGCAAATTGAGAAGGGGCGCTTGTCGTGAGGGTGCGAGAGGGGGAAGTAGGAGGTCAGTCATAAGGCACCTGGAAGTTTGGTTGGAGGAGAGCCTGCATGAGTTTGCGCGTTCTGCTGGAGTTCTTGGGGGGGCTCTGGTGGACCTCGGAGGGCGGAGCGGGAGGAGGAGGGAAGCGCGTGTCGGCGGCTACTCGGTGGCTTTTGTTGGGGGTCCCAGAGGTCTGGGAGGGGCATCCTCCACGTCACCCGCCGGATCGCGAAACTGACTGCACCGCGCGCTGCTGTCTGGGATGAACGGCCTTCTTTGTCCAGACGGGGGCTGCGCCAGAGTGCGCAGTCGGTGGCCTTTTGGCGGAAGTTCGAGCAGAGGTGGCAGGCCAAAGCCGGGGGGCGTACCTGACCCCCTCGCGTCGCGAGCAACATCGCGACGGGAGGTTTTTGCAGTTTTCGCTTTCTGGGGGCCCTGAAATGGGCCCGTCGAAGAACGACTCGAAATGGGACGCTGGTCCCATCGAAGTTGATCGAGGCCTCCAGGGGTCCGCGTTTCAAGCATAACCACGACGTCGCGGGTCAGGCCGATCCTGGGCACAGGACGGGTCGGGCAGAACCGCCCCAGCTGTCCGAGGTTTTTGGGTCCTCTGCCGTGCGTTCGAGGCGCCTTTGGGGTCCTGAGGCGTAAGTGGCTGTAGAGGCGGTGGCCAGGCCGAGTCTCACTGCTGGTGGGAGCGCGCAGGAAAAGACCAGAGGCCGAGTGTACCCCGCCAGGTTGCCCTGTTGGAGCTAAGAGGCTTACATCGACAGCCTCGGGGGGCCCCCGGCCCTCGAGCCCATCTGAATCATTGTAGTTTAAGGGTGTTGTTTGTTAAGTCAATCGTGGCCGAGTTCCCTACCGTGTATTGTTATGGGTCGCCAGGGGTCCCTGGAGTTTTTCTGTTTGTCGGGGGGGTCTCAGACCTCCGATGCCACGCGTTCCAGTTCGGGGCCCCTCGATATCCCGACCCCGTCCGAGGGACTAGATCAGTCGTGGTCGCCCTGGGGCCCAGAAACGGCCCTCCGGGGCCGAACATGGAGACAGCATTCCGCCTTGACTTGTTCAAAACGCTGGAGGTAACCTACGGGTCCTCCTCAAAGCTAGTCCCGCGCGAACGGCCCAAAATGCCACTACCCCCGATCCGATCTGACTTACACTATGTGTACGTCGCCCCCCTCTGTCGAGCAGTGGCAAGGCGTCCTGGCTTGCCCATGCCATAGGGCCACTCAAGAAGGTTCTAAGAACATGTCTCAGACCATTTCTGCCTGAGGCCGTCTTGTTTTAATGCACCGGCACTGTGTTCGAAGAGCATGGTCTCTTGCTCAGAACAGTCTGGTGGTTCCACGAAAATTTCGTGGTAGGCCTATAGGAACGCCGGGACGGTCGGTCCCCGCTCAACCCCGGAGCGACGCGCGCGCTCTGAAATCTTGGAGTATGTGCCCCGTGGCGGGCGCTTTCTGGCCATACCGCGAGGGGACCAGTGTACCACAAGGTGCTGTGGTATCTGCTCTGCTCGGACGTGCGCCCCCGAGGAGGGCATAGCGCTTGAGCGCGCCCCTCTGCGTCCCATGGAGGCCTCCGCGGCTTTCTTCTTGGCGGCTCCTAAGGACTCGGACATGTTCCACCACCACCTCCGTTCCCCCTCACTCCTCCATGTTCTTGTTCCTCTCCCCCTTCCCGGGAGAAGGAGGGGATGAGGGAGGTGGTGGTGTATATTTCTGGGCCCCGTACTCCTGGCGGCTCAGGACCCCCCGCGGGCGCCCGAGCCCGCGCGCGTTACGGACCTCCAACACGCCGCGCCGCTCAGCGGGGCGCCCGCCGGCGCCCCTCTCGGGGCACGCGCAGATCTGCCCGCCCCCCGCGCCGGGCGTGCACATTGCCCCAGGCCTCTGGCGCCTGGGATCATCAGCGCCTCTGGGCTGGATCCGTGTTCATATCTACACATGGTTCGTTCCTAATTTTTCGAAAATTATTTGATTTTTTCGGGGCAAGGTTCTTTCATTTCTAGTTGTTCCTGGGAGCGCAGATGCCGCGTAATTTGCAAAGGATCCTGGCCTTGGGAGCGCGGACGCAGCGTAATTGACAAGGGATCCTGGCCATGGAGGCGCGAACTCAGCGTCATTCACGAGGGAGCGCGGCCCTGGGAGCGCGGACGCAGCGTCGTCTACAATGGATCGTGACCCAGGGAGAGCGGACGCAGCGTAATTTACAAGGGATCGTGTCCCAGGGAGAGCGGACGCAGCGTAATTTGCGAGGGATAATGGCTCTGGGGTGGCGGGCAAAGTGTGATTTACGATGGATCGTGCCCCTGAGGGCGCGGACACAACGTAATTGACGATCAGTTCGGTCAGGACTCGGATGCAAAGGAGGACTCGATCCACAACACTGTAGAGCACACTCGCTGCATGGCACATCGAAATTCAGCACGGCGTAGCACAGCACAGCCCTCGGCACGGTACATCAAGATCGATAAACTTAGCATTGCAACCTGGCACGTTCTTTGGCACGTTCCGTGGCGCGTCCCGTGGCGAGTCCCCTTGGCACGTCGCGCGGCGCGTCCCCTGGCACAGCCCGTGGCTTGTCCATTGGCACGTTCCGTAGCGCGTCCCCTTGGCACGTCCCGCGGTGCGTCCCCGTGGCACGCCCCCTGACATGTCACCTAGCGCGTCCCTTTGGACGTTCCGCGGCGCATCCTCCTGGCATGCTCCCCTGTCAATTAGCTCTGGGGCAGCTATTATGTGCTGAGGCAGCTCGAGCTTAACATCCAGAGGGGTACTCGATCCACAACACTGTAGAGCACACTCGCGGCATGGTACATCGCAACTTCAGCACGGCGCAGCACAGCACAGCCCTCGGCACGGTACATCAAGATCGATACATTCAGCATTGCAACCTGGCACGTTCTTTGGCACGTTCCGTGGCGCGTCCCGTGGCGAGTCCCCTTGGCACGTCGCGCGGCGCGTCCCCTGGCACGGCCCGTGGCTTGTCCATTGGCACGTTCCGTAGCGCGTCCCCTTGGCACGTCCCGCGGTGCGTCCCCATGGCACGCCCCCTGACATGTCACCTAGCGCGTCCCCTTGGACGTTCCGCGGCGCTTCCTCTTGGCATGTCTCCCTGTCAATTAGCTCTGGGGCAGCTGCTATGTGCTGAGGCAGCTCGAGCTAAAGATCCAGATCAGTTCGGTCAGGACTCGGATGCATAGGAGGACTCGATCCGAAACGCTATATATAGAGAGAGAGAGCACAATCGCTGCATGGCACATCGCAATTCAGCACGGCACAGCACAGCACAGCCCTCGGCACGGTACAGCAAGATCGGTACACTCAGCATTGCGTTTGCCCGTCGCCAAATCAGGTGTCTTTGAAACGTTGCCATGCCTCACATTTCTATCTTCCTTTCCAGGTCCGGGGGTCGATCATGTTGGAATCTATGACCTCCGGAAGCACCTGGAAGCTTCCTGGAGCTTTCCGGAGCATGCTGTGGCCTCCTGGAGCTCCCAGCCGCGCTGGAACCTCCCGGTGGGCCTCCCGGCGCGTACTTTTTCTGGCCTCGGCCTCCTGGTGCGCCTCCCGGGGCTAGACCTCCTCCCGAATGTCCCCAGAGCCCCCACCTGGCGTTTGGGGGGGGCTGCTTTTGGATCGTCCTGGTCATGGGGCCTCCCTTGGGGCCTGCTTGTCTTTCCCTGGAACCTCCGCGGGCCTCCAATTGGTTCCGACGTGGGGAGAGGAGGGGCAGCAGGAGGATAAGGAGGAGGGGGAATGACGGAAGGAAGGAGGAAGGACGGAGAGAAAGAAGGAAGGAAGAGGATGAGAATGGGGAGGGGGACGGCGAGGGGGCAGTGGGAGGAGGATCATGGCAGAGGAAGAAGGGGGATCAGGAAGGGAGAGGAGGAGGAGGAGCAGGAGGAGGAGGAGGAGGAGGAGGAGGAGGAGGAGGAGGAGGCGGCGTAGGAAGAGGAGGAGGAGGAGGAGGAGGAGGAGGAGGAGGAGGAGCAGGACACGTCTACACTCAATCCTAGTGGTCCTACCCATATGGGCGAGAATTGGCCCGTGAAACACCGCACCTGGTGCCCCTCTGAAGTGAGGCAAGATCGCGATGCCTGCTTCATCGCGGTGCTCACAGGGATCTGCAAACACACGCGCGTGACCCCCCCCCCAGGAAGACATGCGCTCCAGTGGACGGGCCTCACCAATCTGCACGCGGACGGGCCTGTGGAACACTTCTGGACCCCCCCCCAGGGGAGGCCCAGCGCGATGCCTACTACAGCTGGTGACCATGGGGCTCTGGGTGCACATGCGCGCGACCTCCGAAACGCACCGCCTATTCGGAAGGTCACCCATCTGGTCGCGGACGGGCCCGTGGCATACCCCCTGGCACCCCCCCTCCCCTTTGATGCCCAAGTGCGAGACCTGCTACACTACACTGCGGTGATTTTGAAGCTCTGAAAACTGGCACGTGGGTCCCACAACACGGGCATTCTCCGTTACAGGTCCCACCCGTCCGGGAGCGAACGGGTCCGAATGCAATGCCTAAGTATGGGTGGAGGTGAGAGTGAGCACGCCTAAGTGTGATTCAATATGAGTGCAAGTGAGTCCGAGGAAGAGCGAGTTTTGCATGGCTGAGTCTGAGTATGACTGAATAATTTCGAGTGTAAGTGTGCCTGAGTGCGCGTGAGCCTATCTGGGTCTGAGTGTGAGTCAGCAGGGGTACGCGTCGGTCAGAGTTTGGATGAATTTGCATGTGAGTGGATTTGCATATGAGTGGTTAGAGTGGGCCGAGCGTGTGTGAGAGGGAGAGGCGGGAAGTAAGAAGGAGGATGGAGGAAGGAAAGAGGCGGAGGCATCACACTACTAACAGCGAGCCTGTACGTATGACATGAAAAACCCCAGACCCGGGTGTTGCTAGAAGTGCCCCTGGCCCAAGGCGCCCCCAGGATTTCCAAGGAGGCCCCCACCGCCTCCAGAGCACCCCGCGCGAGGCCCGGAGGACCCCACGAGCTCCAAAATGGAGCGAAGAGTTGGGGGCGGCTTGGGCCAGGGGCACCTTCAGCAACTCCCAGACGGCGCAGGTTGTTGCCGGAGTTTGGATTACCCTCGACGCTTCTGGATCTCGGGGGTCCCTTCCATCAGCTTCCGTTCGACGGGAGCTTCAAGACGGTGGCAATGATTATCCGATTACGAAGGCCTTACGGCCGGTGCCGCCGACCCTGAAGGGAGACGACGACGACGACGACGACGACAACGGCGGCGGCGGCAATGACGACGACGCTTTGTTGGGCCAGAGTCCTCAGGGATGCTTCTTGGGGTCTCTTAGGAAGTCTCTCGGGGGGCCTATGGGGAGGAATTTTGGGACCTCTTGGGAGCCTCTTGGGTGCCTCTTGAGAGACTCTTGGGGGCGTCTTCGGGCTTCCTGGGGACCTCTTTTGGGCCTCTTGGGGCCTCTTGGGAACCTCTTGAGGCCTCCTGGGGGCCTCTTTGGGCCGAAGGCTCGAAATGTCCGTTCGGGTCCCCCGCCTGGGCACGCTCTTGGAGCCGTCTAGGGGGCCTCTTGGGCCGTCTTAGAGGCGTTTTGGGCTGCCTTGGGGTCCTCTTGGGGTGTTTTGGAACCCTCTTGGAGGCATCTTGGGCGGTCTTGGCGGGATGTTAGGGGCCTCTTGCGCCGTCGTGGCCCGGTGGGAAGTGGAAACGGCGAGCACGCCCAAATTTCAAATACCGTTGGAAAATGCATGATCTTGGCCTCTTGGGGCCCCCTCGAGAGTGCTCGAGAGTGCGCCTTGGGCCGTCCTGGAGGCCTCCTGGGCAGTTTGGAGTGCGTGAAGGCGTTTTGGACCGATCGTTTGGCGATTCGGGACCCTCTTGGACCGTCTCGCGGGCCTCTTGGGGCACTCTTGGCCTCTCTAGGTACTTTCTGAGGCCCGGGGGCCCCCAGGGGGGTTGCGTATCTGACCCTTCCTCCCTCGCCCGATGGGGGAGGGATCAAAGGGAAGGGGCTTCCCTTCGACTCGATTCCAACATTATTGCAGTTTCCCGGAAAGGGCATAAGCCCAGGGTTCTCTTTTAGTTGGTTCACCTCTGGGTTTGACTTGAGGTGGGCCGGCGAAATGTGTTTGCGATAAATATCGAGGTCGAGGTGGGCCGGCGCATCAAAATTTGAGGACGTCCCTTGCGAAACGTTGGTTTTTGAAATCGCGATCGATAAATCACAGGGTGCAGGACACGTCTTGGTCAGGTGCATGGATTACGTAATGCATATCGATTGGCCATCCAGGGGTACGTATCTGTGTGTGTTTTGCTATGTTCCTATAGATGGACCCTCTGGTTACGTATAGACTAGGGGCACGCATACGTGCTTTTTACGTATACTCCTATAGATTTGCCCTCACCAGGAATACGTGTGTTCCCATAGATTGGCCCCATCCAGGGGCACGCATGTGTGTGTTTTACGTATGTTCCTATAGATGGGCACTCTCATGACCTATAGATTGGCATTCTCCAGGGGCACGAATTCGTGTGTTTTTACGTGTATTCCTGTAGATTGGCCCTCTCCAGGATTACGTGTTTTCCCATAGATTGGCCCTCTCCAGGGGCACGAAACCGTGTGTTTTTATACATATTGAATTGTTTCCCCCGGGACCCGACGGGAGGTGGGCCGGCGGAATTGATCTGCGATGAATTACCAAGTAACATGTAAGTTTGCAGTTGAACAAGTGCGTTTTTTCGTGTGCCCGCTCCAGGAAAGTTTGCCCCCCCATCTCGGATCCTTGATAAACAACAGGGTCTGCAGACACCCGTTGTGCCTAGTTAACAGAGGGTGCGGCGCGTCCCCTGGCACGTCCCGCGGCACGTTCGTTGGCACGTTCCGTAGCGCTTCCCCTTGGCACGTCCCGCGGTGCGTGCCCATGGCACGTCCCCTGGCACGTCGCCTAGCGCGTCCCTTGGGACGTTCCGCGGCGCGTCCTCCTGGCATGTCTCCTCTGTCGATTAGTTCTGAGGCAGCTACCATCTGCTCAGGCAGCTCGAGCTTAAGATCCAGATCAGTTCGGTCAGGGCTCGGATGCCAGGGAGGACTCGATCCACAACGCTATGTAGAGCACAATCGCGGCATGGCACATCGCAGTTAGTTCAGCACGGCGTAGCACAGCACAGCCCTCGGCACAGTACATCAAGATCGATACATTCAGCATTGCATTTGCCCGTCGCCCAATCAGGTGTCTTTGAAACGTTGCCATGCCTTACATTTCTATATTCCTTTCCGGGTTCGTGGGTCGATCATGTTTCATTCGCTGACACGCTTGATGAGGAGGGTGTAGGGACATTTTCCCGGAAAGGGCGGGGGCCCAGGGTTCTCTTTTAGAGGTTTACCCCCGGAGTCGATTTGAAGAAGGCCAGCGGACTCATTATGCGATCAATGACGGATTTGAAGGAGGCCGGCGGAATTATGCTTGAGGATGTCTCGAGCGAAACGCTTGTTTTTCAGAATGTGTTGAGGTTGTCTCTAGCGGAACGCTTGTTTTGTGCTATAGATTGTCCTCTCCTGTGGACCTGAATTCAGAGGATCTCTCAAGTGAAATGCTTGTTTTCACTTGCCCAGGTCTTGAGGATGTCTCGAGCGAGACGCTTGGTTTCATGCCTCCAGGTTGCCCAGGCAGAGGTCTAGCGCCAGGATTTGTTGAGGATGTCTCGAGCGAGACGCTTGGTTTGACGCGTCCTCGTCGCCCAGGCGGATGTCTAGCATGAGGATGTGTCGAGGAAGTCTCGGTCGAGACGCTTGTTTGCACGTGTCCAGGTTGCCCAGGCGGATGTCTAGCATGAGGATGTGCTGAGAACGTCTGGAGCGAAACGCGTCGTTTCACGTGTCCAGGTCGCCCAGGCACAGCACAGCCCTCGTCACTGTGCATCAACATCGATACCCTTAGCATTGCAGCCTGTCATGTTGCCTGGCACGTTCCGCGGAGCGTCCCGTGGCGAGTCCCCCTGGCACGTCGCGCGGTGCACGTCCATTGGCACGTTCCGTAGCGCGTCCCCTTGGCACGTCCCACGGTGCGTGCCCATGGCACGTCCCCTGGCACGTCGCCTAGCGCGTCCTTTGGGACGTTCCGCGGCGCGTCCTCCTGGCATGTCCCCCTGTCGATTAGTTCTGGGGCAGCTACCATCTGCTCAGGCAGCTCGAGCTTAAGATCCAGATCAGTTCGGTCAGGGCTCGGATGCAAAGAGGACTCGATCCACAATCGCGGCATGGCACAATCGCGGCATGGCACATCGCAGTTCAGCGCGGCCCAGCACAGCACAGCCGTCGGCACGGTGCATCAAGATCGATACACTCAACATTGCACCTTGCACGTTCCTTGGCGCATTCCGTGGCACGTCCCGCGGCACGTTCATTGGCACGTTCCGTAGCGCTTCCCCTTGGCACGTCCAGCGGTGCGTGCCCATGGCACGTCCCTGGCACGTCGCCTGGCGCGTCCCTTGGACGTTCCGCGGCGCGTCCTCCTGGCATGTCCCCTCTTTCGATTAGTTCTGGGGCAGCTACCTTCTGCTCAGGCAGCTCGAGCTTAAGATCCAGATCAGTTCGGTCAGGGCTCGGATGCCAGGGAGGACTCGATCCACGACGCGATATATATATATATATATATATATATATATATATGTAGAGCACAATCGCGGCATGGCACATCGCAATTCAGCACGGCACAGCACAGCACAGACGCCGGCACGGTGCATCAAAATCGATACATTCGGCATTGCATTTGCCCGTCGCCCAATCAGGTGTCTTTGAAACGTCGCCATGTCTTACATTTCTATATTCCTTTCTGGTTTCGTGGGTCGATCATGTTTCATTCGCTGACACGCTTGAGGAGCAGGGTGCAGGGAAAGGGGGCGACGGAGACGACAATTGACGGAGATCACAACTCGAACAGAAAAGCCCCTTACATACGCCGACAGGGTCGGCGGATTTGCATCGCGCGGGCCGCGGTGAGAGTCCAGGAGTCTGAGCCACTTGCAGGGGCCCAGACCTTATCGCACGTCCCGTCTCGGTCTGGGGCTCAAGGGGGCCCTTGTCCAGGGCGGCCCCGTGAGGACGCGAAGGCAGCCGCCCATCGCGCATCTTGGGAGGTCTGGCGTCTTGGAACACGCCTGGATCAAACCCTTTCAAGACTGGGCCCTGGTCTGCTCCTGGGGTCCACCCTGCCTCGTGTTTCGGAGCTGCGTCTGGCCATGGCGACGAGAACCTCCAGAAAGGCGCTTCCCCAAACCGCCAGAGCGACGAACATTCGTGTGCGCACCGCGAAGAGGAGACCCGCAAGGACTCAGGAAGCGTCTGAGGCCTGGGGCTGCGAATCGGCCCATGGCCGACGCCCTCGACGCCCACCTCCAGGCCCTCACCAGGTCCCTGGACCTGCAGGCGGGCCTGGTGCGCAGCGCCCTCGATCTCCATCCGGCCGCCCCGCGCGTGGACTTCCAGAGGCTCACCGAGGAGGCCATCGGCAAGTTCAGCGCTGCGATCAGCGACCTCAGGTCGGACCTGCTCGCCGTGGCGGCCACCGCGGCCTCTCGGGAGCCTCCGGGGACGGACGGCGTCGAGGAGGCCCCAGCGGGGAAGAGCCGCCTGAGCGTCGGCACGTCGACGGCGGCGCCCGCGAGCCATCCGCGCGTCTCAAAGGTCAGCTTCGTTGACGACAACCAGTACGGGCGCGGCAAGGCAGGGTCCTCTTCAATCCGATCGATATGGTGAGATATCGATTGCGCCCGATCCGGTGCGATTCCGATTTCACGGAGATCCGATACGGCCCGATGCTCGCATGGCGTTTCGGCGCATCCTGGCGTGGCCGATCCGATTCGATTCCGACTCCGTGCCGTTGCGAACCGGTTCGATGCATGTTAGGATTCGATCCGCTTTTCCGATTCGATGCTGACTGAGCCTGCAAGGTCAGCTTCGTGGAAAGCAGGCAGTCGAGCACACAGGACAGCCACGATTTGGGGGAGGCCAATCGTTGTACCTCAGAGCGGGCAAGTCTTGCAGAGGGGTCCTCTGAGACCGCCTCGGGGCTCCAGAGGGGCAGGGAATCCACGGTGCCTGCCGTGGTTGGGGTTCTGGCCGCTGCCACGCCCCAACTGGGTTGCGGCGTCGCCCTGCCTCTCAGACATGAAGTCGAGGGGTCCTGAGGGAGAGGGGCCCTCAGGCTTTTCGCCGTTCGGCCTCTCAGTCACCCTTCCGGGCCCCGAGAGCCGTCAGCGAATGTCGGCCACACGCAGAGGGGGGCAGGGGGAGGGGGGAAGGCTTCTTAGAAGGAGGCTGCTTCCCAGCAGGCGCGGGCCTCATCTATGAAGCTAAGGCTGGCGCCTTCTGAGAAGCAACCTCCTGCTGACAAGCCTTCCCCCCTCCCCCTGCCCGTAAGGGTGGTATATTTGTGTAGGTGGCTTGTGTATAGAAGGGTGAGGTTTAAGCAAGAAAGAAAACAATACATACACACAAGCCACCTACACAAAGATACCACCCCCACTCACCCTGCCCCCCTTCTGCGCGCCGCCATGAATGTCTCGGGATGAGAAGCTGGGGGGGGGGACAGCTTTGTGGTCTAGGTGCCTGCGCCCTTCGGGCGCCCTCTCCCCCATGCCAGAGGAGGGCAACGAGCCGCGGCACACGAACCAAAGTTTGAAGCGCGACGACTCCAGGCTCTCAGACGTTCCCAGTACGCCAACAGATGCGAAGACCAGACCCTCCCGCAGCGCTTCCCCTACGACTTCCTCAGGAACCACCAGCTCGTCGAGAACCACGCGAAATACTCCCAGGTCCATCGACGGCGTACTGAATCCAGACTGGCCTCCGAGGATAGCGTGGGACATGATTGTCGTCTTCCTTGTCATGTGCGATAGCGTGGTCATTCCTTTCCAGCTGGCCGAGTTCGACTCGGGCTCGGAGTTCGATGTCTTCTGGCTTTGGTTCACGATCGTCATATTCGCGAGCGACCTGGTGATGAATTTCTTCACAGGATACCGCGCGGGCAAAAAGGACCACCACCGACAGGAGGGATCCCTCGTCACTGAGAAGTCCAGCATCGCGATCAACTACCTGCGCGGCTGGTTCTGGATCGATTTCATGAGTACTCTGCCGTGGCACATCATCGCGGAGGCCGCCCAGTCGAGCAACGAGACGTCGTCGGGGGCCCAAGTGACGAAGCTCGCAAAGGTCGTCAAGCTGACGCGGCTTCTCAGACTCATGAGGATGCTGCGCCTCGCCAAGATCACCGTCATCTGGGAGCGCCTCGAGGGCCGGATCGGTTCCATCACCGCCCTCAACTTGGTGAGCATGTGCAGGCCGGCGGAGGTCACGAAGCAGGGGGGGAGTGTGAAGGGGAGTGGAGCGGCCGTCTGGGCAGGCCCCACTCGAGAAGCCCTCGACGTCGGGGAGCTCGGCGGAGGGGGTGCAGTCCTCCCTCCTCGCCTCTCCTCGCTCCTCCACGCTGCCCGCTTCTCCTCGCTACTCCTCGCTCCTTCTTGCACCTCCTCGTTCCTCGCTCCTCCTCGCTCCTCCTCCTCGTCGTCCTCCTCCTCCTACTCCTCCTCCTCAGTCTCCTCCTTCTCCTCCTCAGCGCTGGGCCCAGCAACCAGCCCCTGTTTTGATAACGGCACCAAGCAAGCCGCGGCAGCCACGCGGTCGCAGGCCGCATGCGGTCGAGAGGGCGCAAACGGTCACCACGTACCACAGCTACGGACCTCAGCGGATCCCTCAGAAGTCCGTGAGATGCCGCGAGGCCGCGCGGGCGTGCATCGGCGCGTAGGCGCCACGAGGGAGAGAGTGGCCTCTGAAGGTACGAGCGCTCCTCCTCCTCCTCCTCCTCCTCCCCCTGCTCCTCCCCCTCCTCGTCCTCTCTCTGCCACGGGGCGCGCTGCGGATGGTAAACAAAAAGTGCTCACCCCCCGTCGAAAATGGGGGTCTACATCTCCCCTGTCATAAAGCCCTTGTGGCAAGCCTTGGATCCTTTCTGAGAGGCCCCAGGGTATAGAGTCGCAGGCGATCCCTCGCCCCCCCATTTGCATTTTCCACTGGAAATCAAGCCGCTCAGAAAACAAGGGGAAGTCGGAGATACACCGAAAGGGGGGCTATCCGGACGAAATCTTATCAAGGATGGGAGCCCCCCTATCGTATATCTCCGAGTTGGGCCCCAATGTTTGGTCCACTCGAAAACCCCACGAGGTCGGCGATAGGGTCGACAGATCCCCCGTCATAGAGCACCATGTGGCAAGCCTCCGATCCCTTCAAAGAGTTTCTCAGAAAGCCGGCTCCCCCTCGCCCCCCACCCCCCTCTTCTGCGCGCCGCCAGCCAGGGTTTTGGGCGTCTGGGCCGCGATCTGCCATTGGGGCGCGTGCATCTGGTGGATGTTCGGCAGGAGGGACAGCCTGGTGATGCTCATCACGATGCAGGAGGACGCTCCGGATGCGCTCCACTGGACCGAGCTCCCGCGCGTGCACAGCCCCTACGACGACTTCGGAGAGTGGAGGTGGGTGGACAGGCCCGTGTCGGAGCAGTACGTCTTCTGCTTCTATTGGATCCTGGGGGTGATGCGCACGATGCCTGCCGAGGTGACCCCCATCACCCTGAGAGAAAGAATATTTGTCCTTCTCTTTATGTTCTTCGCCGTCATGGCTTTCGCCGTCAACGTTGCCCGCATCACGCAGGCCTGGTTCAAGTTCAGCGCGCGCAAAGACGCGTTCAAAGAGGAAATGGCATACGTCCGCATGCACCTGAGATCGATCGATTGTGGTGCCTCGCTGCAGATGCGTACACAGGTCGGGCGGGGCTATCGGACGAGGATAAAATCCGTTCAGGAGCGTGCCAGAAAGCATTCAGAGCGTTCCGGAACGCTATGAGAAGGACACGGCGCCTGAGACATCGTCCAGAGCCGCAGGATTTCAGATATTTTCGACTTACCCACACCCGAATTTAGCCTTGTCCTGGCGTCGTCTTCGCAGGGGTACCTGAACCATCTTTACGAGAAGAGGAAGATCCACGCCAAAGAGGCGGGCCTGCTGGGTGCCCTGCCCGAGCCGCTGAAATTGCAGCTGAACCAGGCCCATAGGATCCGCTTCCTCCGGATGATCCCACGACTCCAGGAGTTTGCCATTCTGGAAACGGTTCCTGCGGCACCGACGCAACGCACAGCCGCAATGGCCAGAAGCAGCCGCCAACGTGGGCCGCTGCAGCGACGAGCATACGTTGTACAATTAGTTTAGACGAGAGGCTATGTCACTCCTGACTTCAGTGTCGTGTGAGGTGGTGGATTGTCGCGCGTGGTGCAACCATAGCCGCGAATCTTTGACATTCAGTCACATGCATAGCTCCGTCTTTGGGCTCCCGGCGCCCTTTACGGGCCCCAGGGCTGTCAGAGAACGGCTCAGGACGGAAAGTTCGTCCTGGGGGGAAGGGCCCAGGTTCCAGCCCCCGTTTCCCTCGGGACCCTTGGCTGCCCCGATACTGCCGTTTTGGAACGCAGCGCGTACCGTGTTCAAAACAGCCGTGTTCACACGCGGCGTCTTGGCTCGGCACGTATTGGCCCACGTTTTGGCGAACGTAGACCTTCGTTTTCAGACGGCGTGTTGAGCTCCGTGTCCACACGCTACGTGTTGCATATGGCGTATCGGGGCAGCTAAGTCAGGATCTGATTCCCCAATTCTAAGGAGTGGAAAGATCCAGATCTTCGGCGTGTCTGTGATGCCACCGATGCCATCGACTACCTGCCTGGCGACAAAGTTCAGGAGGGACAAAGGGACACAGACACAAATAGCCGTCGATTCCAAGGAAAAGGACGGAAAACATGAGAGATAGAGGGGAGGAGGAAACTACATCAGAAAAAAAAACAAAGGTTTATGGATTTCTCGAATTTCTATGTATATATATATATATATATATATATGTATGTATTGTCTGTGTCTCCCGGGGCTTATTTGAAGGTCACAGAGAAGAACTGCGACGCTGCGGCCGCGCACGTGCTAATGAGGGGCAACCTGCAGTTTTTCGTGCCGGAGGACACATGGGTCATTTCGATTCCGCCAGCCCCATTCCATCCGATCTCGATCGATTCTGATTCCAAGTCGATCCACCTTCGGATTCCGATTTGGAGTTCAGTTTCATCGATGGAGGCCTTACTAGCCTGCCGATTTCCGCCGATCCGAATATTCCTAACGTGGCTGCCGAATTCCGCCGATCCGATTTATCCGCACGGGCTTCGCCTCCTGCCGCCGGTCCCCACTTTATCAACATGGGATGTAATAGAGTCGCGTCTGTGCGTCTTGGCGCTGCCTCGGCGCATGTGGGAACAGCATGCGGGGGCGGATAGGAATCATCAGCGCATATTGAAACGTTTGCGTTATCGAAGACGCCTACGGCGAGTCACCGCCGCCCCCTGCCCTTTCGAAAGCGCCTATGTGGCCGAACGTTGAGGCCAGAGCCCTGCCAAGCTATCGGGCCAGTTGTTCCCCGAATCGGTTTGGAAAGCCTTCGGGGAACACGTGGGGGAGGATTGGGAAGAGGAGGAGAGTGGGGAACGGGCGTGCCCCCTGGGCTTCTTGGGGGCCTCTTAGGCCGTCTTAGGACGTTCCTGACCGGCGTCGGAAGCCGTCTTAGGGGGCCACTCTAAACCAACTTGGGGCCCTCTTGGGGCGCTTCAGGTCCGTCTTGGAGGCAACATTGGGCATCTTGTGGGCCTCCTGGACGTCTTGGGGCCCTCTTGAGGCCACATTGGGGGCCTCTTGGGCAGTCATGGGGCCATCTTGGAGGCCACTTGGGCGATCTTCGGGCGACCTTGGGGGCCTCGTGGAACGACGGAAAGCTGGAAAAGCGGAAATGCCCAAATCTTTCACAATTTAAAGGACAACCGATGAGTTTGGCATTTCCGGCCTTCCTGGAGGACTTCTTGGAGACCTCTTGGGCCGTCTTGGGTGCCTCTTCGGGGCCTCCTGGGCCGTCTTGGGCCATCTTGAGACTATCTAAGGCCGTCTTGGGTGCATGTTGGGCCGTCGTGGAGTCATCTTGGAGCCATCTTAGCAGTCTTGGAGGCCATCTTGGCCGTCTTCGAGGCATCTCGGAGGCCATCTTGGGATATCTTGGTTGTCTTCGAGGCCATCTTGGGCATCTTGAAGGCCTCTTGGGCCGTCTTGTGACCCTCTTGGGGCCATCTTGAGGGCCTCTTGGGTCGTCATGGGGCCATCTTGGAGGCCTCTTGAGCGATCTTGGGGCGACCTTGGGGGCCTCTTGGGCCGGCCGTCTTGGGCCGTCGGAACCAAACAGGTGCAAATGCCCAAGACGCTTTCAATTCAACGGAGAATCAATGAATTTAGCCTCTTCGGGCCTTCCTGGAGGGCCTCTTGGGCCATATTGGAGGCCTCTTGGGGGCATCTTGGGCTGTCTTGGGCCATCTTGAGGCCATCTGAAACCGTTTTGGGGGCATCTTGGGCCGTCTTGGAGGCATCTTGGGGCCATCTTAGCCGTCTTGGAGGCCATTGCGGTTGTCTTCAAGGCATCGTGGAGACCATCTCGGGCCATTTTGGCTGTCATCGAGGCCATCTTGGGCCTCTTGGAGGCCTCTTGGGCCGTTCTGGGGCCCTCTTGGCGCCGTCTTGGGGACCTCTTGGGCCGTCATGTCTTGGAGGCCTCTTCGGCGATCTTGGGCCGACCTTGGGGGCGTCTTGGCCCGTCTTGGGCCGCTCGAAAGCCCAAAAGGCGCCAATGCTCCAATCCTTCAAAACTTAAGGGAAAAACAGTAATGTGTCCCTCTTCCGGCTCTCCTGGAGGACCTCTTGGAAGCCTCTTGGGCTGTATTGGCGGCCTCTTGGGGGCCTCTTGGGCCGTCATGGGCCATCTTGAGACCATCTTAGGCCGTCTTGAGTGCATCTTGGTCCAACTCAGAGGCATCTTGGGGCCATCTTAGGCATCTTCGAGGCCATCTTGGCCGTCTTCGATGCATCTTGGAGGCCATCTTGGGCCGTCTTGGAGTCGTCTGGACCAGGATAATCGTTTGCAACCACCTCTTGTGTGCTTTCTTGGCCTTTCCGGGACACTGGTGGGCTGGGCTGGAGCCCCAGGGAGAGATCTTTTGGAAAAAGAGCCAAAACCAAAACCGAAAGGGTTCAGCACGCCGGGCACCCCTGTGATGAATCAACAGGGGGCGGCGGATCGAAGACGCCTACGGCGAATCACCTCCGCCCCCTGCCCCTCTGGAAGCGCCTCTGTGGCAGACAGCTGGGCCAGAGCTTTTCCAAGCTATCGGGCCAGTTGTTCCCCGAGTCGGTTTGGAAAGACTTCGGGGAACGCATCGGGGAGCATGAAGAAGACGGGGAGGATGAGGAAAAATGAGGAGGAGGAGGAGAAGGAGGCCTATTGGGCGCCTCTTCGGCAAGTCTTGGGGCCTCCTGGGAGCTTCCTGGGGGCCTCTTGGAGGGTTTTTGGAAGCCTTTGGGGGCTTCTTGGGGGCCGCTTTGGCTGTCTTAGGGCGTTCCTGGCTTGTCTGACGCCGTCGGAAGCCGTCTTGGGGGCCTGTCTGGGTCGTTTTGGGGCCCTCTTGGGGCATATCACGGGCTCTTAGAGTCCATCTTGGCCGTCTTGGAGGCCTCTTGGCCAGTTTGGGTGCCCTCTTGGGGCTGTCTTGGAGGCCTTTTGGCCCGTCATGGGGCCATTTTGGAAGCCTCTTGGGCGATCCTGGGAGCCTCTTGCGCCGTCTTGAGCCGTCGGAATGCGAAGAAGAAGAAGAAGAATAATACGAAGCAAATGGCAAAATCCTTCAAACGCTTTAGGAAAATCAATGATTTGGGCCTCTTCGTGCCCTCCTGGGAGACCTCTTGGAGGCCTCTTGGGCGTTTTGGAGGCCTCTTGGGGGCCTCTTGGGCCGCCTTGGGCCATCTTGAGGCCATCGTAGGCCGTCTTGGGTGCATCTTGGGCCGTGTTGGAGGCATCTTGGGTCCATCTTAGCCGTCTTGGAGGCCATTTTGGCCTTCTTGGAGGCCTCTTGGGCCCTCTTGGGGCCGTCTTGGGGGCCTCTTGGGCCGTCATGGGGGGGGGGCCTCGTTGGCGCTCTTGGGGGCCTCTTGGTCTTGAGCCGTCGGAATGCCGAAAAGAAGGAAATACCACAATCCTTCAACAACCTAAGGAAAATCAATAATTGTTGCCTCTTCGTGCCCTCCTGGGGGGCCTCTTGGCGGCCTCTTGGGCCGTCTTGGGGTCCTCTTGGGGACATCTTGGGCTGTCTGAGGCCATCTCGAGGCCATCTCAGGCCGTCTTCGGCGCATCTCGGGCCGTGTTGGAGGCGTCTTGGGGCCATCTTAGCCGTCTTGGAGGCCATCTTGGGCGTCTTGGAGGCCTCTTAGGGCCGTCTTGGGGCCTTCTTGGGGCCGTCTTGGGTACCTCTTGGGCCGTCATGGGGCCATCTTGCAGGCCTCGTGGGCGATCCTGGGGCGATCCTGGGGGCCTCTTGGGCCATCTTCAGGTCTTCGGAATGCCGAAAAGAAGCAAACCCCACAATCCTTCAAACACCTAAGGAAAATCAATGATTTTGGCCTCTTCGTGCCCTCCTGGAAGACCTCTTGGAGGCGTCTTTGGGGGCTCTTGGGGCCTCTCGGGCCGTCTTGAACCATCTTGAGGCTATCTTAGGCCGTCTTGGAGGCATCTTGGAGGCATCGTTTGGCCATCTGAGCCGTCTTGCAGGCCATGTTGGCCGTCTTGGAGGCGTCTTGGAGGCCATCGTGGGCCGTCTTAGAGCCGTCTGGGCCAGGAACAACCCTTTGCAACCACCTCTGGAGAAGCCGGGCAATCTTTCCGGGTGGCCCGCGGGACGGGCCGAATCCCCAGGGAGAGATCTGTTGTAATAAAAAATACCCTGCGACGTACCCAACCCATGTGCATCAAGTGGCAAGAGGAGTGGGCCAACATTAGCAGGAACAACGACAGTGTAGACGCCGTGAATTGCTGCGCAATCTACGTGGAATGCGCATGCGTTGCACGACTCACACGAGTCACATGACGACGATCGAAAGAACGCGGATTGAGGCCCCAGGTTCGAAGAATAACGGGGACAGGAACGAGGGGCAGGAGAAGGATGGAATGGGGGGTAATCTGAATCTGCGTATGACGTCACCCCGCTGGGCCCCTCAGCAGCCCTCGAAAGTGGCGACAGTTTCGCAGATCGCAGCCCCCCAGGGATGGCGATGTCTAATCAGAATCAGCGTGTGACCCCACTCCGCTGGGCCCCCCAGCAGCCCTCGAAAGTGGTGACAGTTGCGCAGATCGCAGCCCCCCCAGGGATGGCGAGGTCTAATCTGAATCGGCGTATGACCCCACTCCGCTGGGCCCACCAGCAGCCCTCGAAAGTGGCGACAGTTACGCAGATCGCAGCCCCCAGGGATGGCGAGGTCTAGTCTGAATCTGCGCATGACCCCAATCCGCTGGGGACCCCAGCAGCCCGTGAAAGTGGCGACACTTTCGCAGATCGCAACGGCGAGGTCTAATCTGAATCTGCGTATGACCCCACTCCGCTGGGCCCCCCAGCAGCCCTCGAAAGTGGCGACAGTTTCACAGATCGCAGCCCCCCAGGGGTGGCGAGGTCTAGTTTGAATCTGCGTATGACCCCACTCCGCGGCCCCCCCCTCCCCCAGCAGCCTTCGACAGTGGTGACAGTTTCGCAGATCGCAGCCCCCCAGGGATGGCGAGGTGTAATCTGAATGCGCATAACCACATTCCGCTGGGTCCCCAACAGCCCTCGAAAGTAGTGACGGGTTCGCAGATCGCAGCCCCCCAGGGATGGCGAGGTCCAATCTGAATCTGTGTGTGAACACTCCGCTGGGCCCCCCAGCAGCCCGTGAAAGTGGCGACACTTTCGCAGATCGCAGCCCCCCCATGGATGGCGAGGTCGAATCTGAATCTGCGTATGACACCACTCCGCTGGGCCCCCCAGCAGCCCTCGAAAGTGGCAACACTTTCGCAGATCGCAGCCCCCAGGAATGGCGAGGTCTAATCTGAGTCTGCGTAGGGCGTCACTCCGCTGGGCCCCCCAGCAGCCCTCGAAAATGGCGACAGTTTCACAGATCGCAGTCCCCCAGGGATGGCGAGGTCTAATCTGAGTCTGCGTAGGGCGTCACTTCGCTGGCCACCCCAGCAGCCCTCGAAAGTGGCGACAGTTTCACAGATCGCAGCCCCCCCAGGGATGGCGAGATCTAATCTGAATCGGCGTATGACACCACTCCGCTGGGCCCCCCAGCAGCCCTCGAAAGTGGCGACGATTTCGCAGATCGCAGCCCCCCAGGGATGGCGAGGTCTAATCTGAGTCTGCGTAGGGCGTCACTCCGCTGGACCCCCCAGCAGCCCTCGATAATTGTAACAGTTTCACAGATGACAGAAAGAGCGAGGTACGAGTGATGACGTTGAGTTGGGGCGAAGCCCTCAGGGAGGGGTCCAGGGGAGGGGCGAGGCCCGAACGGAATGGTCTAATAGCCCGTTTCCTTTGTATTTTGTCGAGTGAAGCGGCTCCCGGGCGGCTCCCATGTGTCGTTTCTTCCCCTGACGGGCCCAAGATGTCCCAGAGGCCCCACATATCGTCCCAAGACGGCCCCGGAGAGGCCCCAAACGGACCCAAAACTGTCCAAGAGGGCCCCCAGACGGGCCCAAGACGGCCTAAGAGGCCCCAAAGATCATCCCCTAAGAGGCGCCCCAAAGGTGCCCAAAACGGCCCAGGATGGCCCCCAGACGGCCCCAATACAGCCAAGAGGGCCCCGAGGGCCCTAAGAGAGCCCAAGAGGGCCCCAATAGGCTCCCTAGCGCGCCCGAAGAGGAGGAGGGGGAGGAGCAGGAGGAGGAGGAGGAGGAGGAGGAGGGAGGGAGGAAGGAGGAGGAGGAGGAGGAGGAGGAGGAGGAGGAGGGAGTGGAGGAGGGAGGAGGAGGAGGAGGAGGGAGGAGGAGGAGGAAGGAGAAGGAGGAAGAGGAGGAACCAGGACGAGGCCAAGGGAGGAGGGGGGAGGTAGAAGGAGGAGGGGGAGAAAGAGGAGGAGGGGGAGGAGGAGGAGGAGGAGGAGGAGAGGAGGAGGAGGAGGAGGAAGAGGAGGAGGAACGAGGACGAGGCCGAGGAGGAGATGGAGGGAGGTAGAAGGAGGAGGGGAGGAAGAGGAGGAGAGGAGGAGGAGGAGGAGGAGGAGAGGGAAAGGAGGAGGAGGAGACGAGGAGGAGGAGGAGGACGAGGAGGAGGAGGAGAGGCGGAGGAGGAGGAGCAGGCGGAGGCGGAGGCGGGAGGCGGGCGAGGAGGAGGCGGAGGAGGAGGAGGAGGAGGAGGAGGAGGGGGAGGAGGGGGATGAGAAGGAGTAGGTAAAAGAGGAGGAGGAGGAGAAGGAGCGAGGGGTGACGTAACAAGCTCTCAACGCCAAGGCTCCCAGTACGAACGGTGGTGTGAGTAACTTCGGACTTCGGTTAATGTGTTTGAAGCGCTCTTTCCGTTCCCGTGCCGGCCCAGGTCGCATCCCCCCAGGGATGGCGAGGTCTAATCTGAGTCTGCGTGGGGCGTCACTCCGCTGGCCACCCCAGCAGCCCTCGAAAGTGGCGACAGTTTCACAGATCGCAGCCCCCCAGGGATGGCGAGGTCTAATCTGAGTCTGCGTGGGGCGTCACTCCGCCGGCCACCCCAACAGCCCTCGAAAGTGGCGACAGTTTCACAGATCGCAGCCCGAAGAGAGGAGGAGGGAAGAGAGGAGGAGGCGGGAGGAGGAAGAAGACGCGACCGCAGTGCTCTATTCAAAACGAGAACCCAACGCAGGAGGGTTGGGAACAAACCCAAAACCGAAAGGGTTCAGCACGCCAGGCACCCCTGCGATGAATCGACAGGGGGCGGCGGATCGAAGACGCCTACGGCGAATCACCGCCGCCCCCTGCCCCTCTGGAAGCGCCTCTGTGGCCGACAGTTGGGCCAGAGCTTAGCCAAGCTATCGGGCCAGTTGTTCCCCGAGTCGGTAAGGAAAGACTTCGGGGAACGCGTGGGGGAGCAAGAAGAGGAGGAGGGGGAGGATGAGGGAAAGAGAGGAGGAGGAGGAGGAGGCCTCTTCCTGGGAGCTTCCTGAGCGCGAATCTTATGTATTTGTTCGTGTCCCACGGCCCCTCGGAAATTCTGAGAACCCTTCTGGGGGACGCTAACCAGGGTGTTTCTGGGCTCCCCCCCTCGCGCGGACAGTAACAATTTACAGCAGGAGCAGAAAGGAAGATTGTAACATTGGAAACTGGAAACTGGAACTGGTGCAGGAAGCAGCAAGTCTCAGCCTCGCAGCCTGATGGGTCCCGCAAGGGGGCCGGCGGATTTCGATCACCGGTCCGATGTATCGATTCGGTTTTGTCCTCTCCTGGGAGGCCCGGCGCTGGTTCTTGCGAGCAGTGGAAGGGAAGGCAGATTCGACGCGCTGAGTTCGGAAAGTTTTTAGCCTGTTGTGGCCTCTTGGGCCGTTTTCGGGCCCCGGGGCTGTTAGAAACGGATCCGGGGTGAACAACTGCACCAGGCTGGGAATTGGGACCGATTTTGGGCGGAGTTGGCTTCATCCCCCCCTTCTCACTTGATTTATGGGGGTGCAATCAGTTCAGACCCCCTGGCCGCCTCCAACCAGAGGACATGCGGGGAATTGGCAGCACGGGCAGCCGAAGCACCAGGCAGAGCACCAGGAGGTCGTTCGTCCAGCGCCTGTCGGGCGTGAGCCGGGGCATCGATCCCCTGAAGGTCGTGGATGATTATTGTTTGTTCGACATGGAGGCGGATGTGAAGAGCAGGAATACCGTGGTGGCGCTGGAGTGCTCGGAGGTGCTGCGAATTGACCGGCAGAGGTTCCAGGAGGTGTTTCAGGCGCGTAGCGTGAAGCAGGCTGCAGACATCCAGTTGAAGCTGACTAGGGACACGTTCGCCATTCAGGCAGCCGCCGGCAGCTCCGACGAAGGCAGCGACGACGAATCTGTGAATGAGGATTTGGGTGGCGTCCCAGGCTCTGCGACCGGCATGTCAGGAAAATCAAGATTTGCAGGGTCTGCAGCGTCTGCAGCACGTGAGATCCAGACTTTGCAGCACATTGCGGCCAGCGCCGGAGTATCTGCGGGATAGCGCGAGAGAGCGCCAAAGGTACACGCACCGCTCAATCCGCCCCATCCTCCTCATGTTCCGTCCCTTGTCTTCCTTTTTTGCACTGGCTTGTCAGTCGACCTTGGACAAATGACGAGCTTGGATGAAGCATCGACAACGCCTATACGGCGAGACACCGCCGCCTACCGCCTTTTGGCAACGACTGTGTCGTGAAATGTCGAGTGGAAGCGCGGCCACGGTAGTGGACTGCGTGTTCCCCCGGCCGTCTTGGGCTTGTACTTCAAATGTTTGGATTTTGAGTTTGTTTCGTGAGCGCCTGAGGTCTTCTTCGGTTATCTTGGGGATTTCGGGGGCCAACTTACGGCGATATGTTGCCGTCCGTCGCCTTCGGAGGCCGCATTGGGGGTCTTTCGGCCATGTCTGGGCCCTCTTGAAAAGATTTGGGATTGTATTGGGGCTCTCTTGGGCCCTCTTGGTCGTTGGGCCGTCTTGGGGTAGTTTTTGGTTTCTCTTGGGACCCATTGGGTCAGTCTTGGGCTGGTGGAGCCTGTTGGGCCGTATTTGACGCTCTTCAGACCGACATGGCAAGAATCCCAAGCACATCGAAGCAACAGCAAAGTGCGCAAGGTCTTCCACATGTAGTTTGATTATTGGGGCGACTCGAAGGACGTCCAAGACGTCCCAAGAGACGCCCAAAAAAGACTCTTGGGCGGGGCCACCTTGGGGCCATCTTGGTCGTCTGGGAAGCATCTTGTAGGCCAATTTGGACGGCCTGGGGCCCTCTTGGACGCCATCTTAGCCATTGTGGCAACATTCCAGACAACTGTTCTTGATATTTCGCCCGGTGTGCGGGGATCCAGATGGCCAGCGGGTCGGCCCGAATGCCAGTTAGAATGTGTTTCCAAGGGACAGTAACTGCTTCTTGTTTGAGAAAATGCACGCCGCGCGCCGCTTCGTTGGGCTACGGGGGTGGCGGGTGGCGGATCGAAGACGCCCACGGCGAACCATTGCCGCTCCCTGCAATGTCTGGAAACTCATATGTGGCCAATCGGTGGGCCGAGTGCCTGCCACCTTGTTGGACACGGTGATCCCTGAGCCGTTCTGAAGACCCTTGGGGAAACACTCAGGGGAGGAAGAGAACGAGGAAGAAGAGAGGAAGGAGAAGGAGCCGATTAGGCAGGAGGAGGAGGAGGAGGAAGAGCAGGTGAAGGCCCGTAGTCATTTTGGCTCAAGCCATTTTGGCTCAAGGCCATATCGGGAACTCACCCCCCCGTCTCAAGTGGCCTGGCTCGCCGCGCGCGAGTGAGACCCTGGAGAGTTGCCCCAGGACAAGGGTCTCCGCATTTCTTCTTATCCCGCGGTGTGACCGCGACACACCCAGTTCCGCCGACGGTACGAATCGTCCCTCTCGTGCCACATCTGTTCTGCACATGCGATGGGGAGCGATGGTCATCGTGAAGCGGCGGCCGCCGCGACCCTCGAGGCCCTGGAGGCCATGGCAACGTTCCCGTCGCAGGAGGTCGCCACTCCCCAACGTGCTGGCCCTTCTGCTCATGCTGATGACGATCCACATGAAGGGCAGCCCCCAAACAAGCAAGCAATCTTATCTTCGACACACGGGGTCGCCGACAACAAAGGAGTGGGAAAAGGTCTATCGTCCGCATCAGGTGCTTCATCGCCCTCTGCGGGCTCGAGCTCTGGTCATGGCTTTGGAGTGCCCCCACTGCCTGGAGGAGTCTCACAATCTCCCGAGGAGTTGGTTGCGATTCGTGCTCGTGTGGACGCAGTTCAGGCAGCACTGCAACAGTCTATTGCAGCAGTGCAAAACAGTGTGCAGGCTTCCCTCACATCGATTTCAAATAATATCACTTCATCTTTCCGTGATGCCATGGAGTCGAGGATCAACCGCGTGGAGAATCGTGCTGATGACCAGAACAAGAGGCTGGACCGCATCGAGCACCAGATCGCACAACTACGTCAAGAATTGCAAGTGGTCCAGAGCGAAGAGCCTCAACCGCCTCTCCGCACAGTGTCTGGCTCTAACTTCAACAGGGAGGTCGACCGTACCGTGGTGGTCATTCGCTCTCCCAAGCTGGTCACGAAGTCGAACATGCAGAACGCGCTGGCGGACTGGCTCAAAGATTGCAACATCAACGAGCAGGAATACACCTTCGACGAACCTGGACCTGCAGGCCTCAGGTTCACGATGCGCTTCGCTGGGGCCAAGAACTATGCCGAAAGGAAGGTCAACCAGGTATTGGGCGCTCTTAAGACGCCCTCCCCTGGCAACGCCCCACCGAATTGGAGGTCCTCCCGAGCTGAGTCAATCGCTGATGGCCCGATCAACCTGTACGTCGGTCCCGACAAGAACACGGAGATGGTGCGCCGTGAGGTTGCAAGAAGATCAAAGGCGTGCTGGCCCGTGAATTTCCGCAGAAGCGCTTCTTCCTGGACAAGCGCAAGGGGGAGGTGCTGCTGGGCTGGAAGCCGATCTGCAAGGTGGTCCCCGTGGAGGGCCAAGACATGCCGAACCTCATGTGGGCGAAGGAGAACATGCGGGCTGAGGGCACGGATGTGCCGCGCATCCTGCAGCTCGCCACTGACGTCTTCGGCCCCATCACGGAGACCGTGTGGAGTTCCTAGCACATTCAGTGCCCTGTGGCATGGCCAAGCCAAACAGGACGGTGAGCGTCACTTCGATTTGCGAGTGGTCACGTGGAACGCGAGGGCGCTGTTTCACCACGATGACTCACTGAGGGTGCACAAAGTGAAGCTGCTGCGCCGTCTCGTGCTGCCTGGCACGATCTTTGCTTTGCAAGGGACGCACGGAGCCCCGTGCGACGTCAGGGACCTTCTCCACTCCCTCCACCTCCCTCTCCAGGCGCATTGGTCCTTTCACGATGGTTTTCGTGCAGGGGGCGTGATCACCATTTTCCATCGTTTCTTCCCGAATGAATCCCGCAGGGTCTCGTTGGGCGGCGTCCTCCCTCTCGTCTCCTCCTCTCCCTTGGTTCCTGGCCGCGTACTTCAGACTAAGATAGGGGCCACGAATGGGCGGTGCTGGATCCAGCACTTTAACATCTACAACCACGGCCTCTCCGTGGCTGACAAGGCAGTTTTGTTCGGCGCGGTGACCACCGCGCTCCAGCAGGCCCAGGAGGATCCCCTCAATAGATTGGTTCTCATCGCTGGGGATCTGAACCTCTCATCCCATGACCCCCTGCCCCTAAACCCCCCGAATGGTGACTTCAGTGCGCTTGCTGACCCTCACCCCCGCCCCCTTCCCAGGGTCTGAAGTCAAGCCTTAACCCACACTGTTGAGTTCGAGCTTCTCTCCCCCTCTCACTTCAACAGTCAAAGCTCTTCGTGGAGTTTCCTGGACAGAATCTTCTCCTCGTTGCCTGGCTGGATTCTCTCGCGATATGCTTCTGGGGGAGAAGTCACCGAGCGCCCAGAGGTGCTGGGCGCGAGAGGTCTATCCGACCACGCGCCTGTCGCTGCCCACATTCGCGCGCGGCCACCAAGGCCAGAAGGAGACAGGCCGATCCCCAAGGAGCTGTTTGCTTCGGCTCCGTACAAGTTCTTCCTGGAGCGTGCCACTCGGGCCGCCTCTTTTGACCACCTCTCTCCCCCCCTCGCTCACGAGCACTGCAAACTCCTGATGACGGAAGCGGCCCGCTTCGCCAGAAACCAGCTCATCCAGAAACGCCCTCACACCCACATCTCTCGATTTTTGGTCGTCCGAGGAATGGCGCGTGCTTTGTTCCGCCAGGACTGGGTCTTGGCTCAGCGCCTTGTTCAATCTCATCCGCTTTGCCGAGGGCACTTCCCCATGGACCCGAACACGCTCTCCATCTCCCTCCGCAACCCTCTCCGCTTCACGACCCTCTCCAACGAGCTCCACCTCAAGACTGCCCAGACTACGGAGCGTGCTCTCCAGGCTAGCGCTCAGCGGCTATCGCGCCCGTCTGCGATCGCCCGCGTCTCTGCCCGCGCTCGCAGGGCCAATCGGCTCGCGAGGCTGTGGCCCCCATTCGATCGGAGACTGATGCTGTCGGGCGTGCGCACCAATGGGGGCGAGATTGCACAGACGCCCTCAGCGATCCTTTCGCACCTGGCTCAGCATTGGGCCCCGATCTTTACTGCTAAGGAGTACCGCGACGAGGAGGCTGCAGCTTTTCTGGATAGCCCCCCCCAAAAAATGAGTTGCTCTGATACCCCCCCCCCAAAAAAAAACGTATCAGCGCATCCAGCGATGTCTCAAAACTCAAACTCACAGTGCCCCAGGCCCTGACAGACTCCCCTACTGTGCCTGGCACTTCGCTCCCCGCGGCGCTGATGTTCTCCACAATTCGATGCGCTGGATTCACGCTGGGCAGAGCCTGCTCTTCGGCTATAACGAGGTCAGAGGAGTCTTTACCCCCAAGGGGACTGACCCGCCAGGAGAAGCTGCCGGTACCCGCCGCCCAGCGGAGACGAGACCTCTGGGGCTGAAAAACTGCGACAACAAAGTGATCACGGGGGTCTCGGTGAACCCTCTGCCCTGCCTCACGGCCTCGACGAGGCCCAGCGCGGGTTCGTTCCCAGCCGAAATCTTGGGCAGAACATCCTGGAGCTCGACGCCATCGGGCGGCAAGCTAGCATGCGCGACGCCCCCCTTATCTGCCTTCCCTCCCTCTTCTGTTTTGACTTCGGGCAGGCCTTCCCCCCCATGGCCCAACGTTGTCTGTTCGCGGTCCTGAAACGCATCTCCCTCCCCCCTGCTCTCCTCCACCTCCTCCTCGACCTTTACTCTGGCGTCATCTGCGCTGGACTCATCGGAGGCGTCGAACAGGTACTCTTCTGGGTCACGAGTGGGATTCTCCAAGGGTGCCCTGCGAGTGGTACGCTTTTCGCTATTGGGGCTGATCCGTTCCTGCGTATGTTTAGGGCTTTGCTGGGGTCTCGAGGTAAAGGCATAGCGAGAGCCTGTGCAGATGACATAGGCGCTATTTTATTCCAGCTGAAAGATGCGGTGGTTCTGGCGTCGGTCTTCCGCGTGGCGGAAACCCTCGCGCACCTCTCTTTGAAGGTGCAGAAGTGCAAGCTCGTGCCGCTCGCTGACAAATTCTCAGTGAGACTTGCTGCTCGGCGTTATCTTCGTCTCCTGTCCTCCCTGGCCCCGTGCTGGCCCGAGTTCGAGATTTGCCCCATGGCGTTCTACCTTGGCCGCTGGCTGGGCCCCGCGGTTTCCCCTCGGACCTCATGGAGTGCCCCGTGGACCAAATATCTTC